AGGGTTCTCTTGTTACTGTTCCCTTCTGTGGTGTCCCAGGGCTATGAGCACACGCCTGTGGCCTGCTCTCCTGGTGTGCTGCTGTGCCACTGTGTTCATTATGATTTCAATGTAACTTCCTGAGGTTGGACCTGGGCCCTCTCCTACTAAGACCATCTTCACAGGAAACCAGTTTATGTGAACTTCTAGGAGAGGGGATGAGGGTTGGCTGTTCTGACTCTGTGCTTCTGCACCCGGGATGGTTCCCCACGCGGCCCAGCACCGTGCTCCTCCTGGTGTGCAGCCATGGTCCCCACGCGGCCCAGCACCATGCTCCTCCTAGTGTGCAGCCGTGGTCCCCACGCGGCCCAGCACCGTGCTCCTCCTGGTGTGCAGCTACGCCTTCCTTTGCTCTGCACTCCCAAGTCCACTCCTGGTAGCTGCCCACAGTGGTCCTCCCTCTAGAACAGTTCTTTATAATCAGCTGAAATGTGCAAGATGCCCCCAGCTCCTCAGCTGCTGCTCTCAACCACACTGAACTGCCCAGTGAGGACCCACTGGCTGTCGGGGATCCCTAGTCTGTCACAGTGACTTTCCCTGTCTCCTCTGCATGCTGCTGAGGCCATGTAGCTTATATTCTGAAGACCATGGCAATACCCTCGTGTCTGGCTTAGCTGTACATTTTGCCTACAGGAGTAGATTTTCCTGAGTTGCCCAGGCTGACTTCCTGGATATTTCAAAGATAGACAAGGCCTATGAAAGTTTCTCACCATCTCCCAAGATTTCTAGTCTTAAATATAAAATTCCAAGAAATCAAGATTCCTGCATATTGTAATGATAAGAAAACATACACCTTCTTCTAAGTGAAAGGTTGATTTGTCTTACCCTAGAGGAAGACAGATGCTGCCCCAAAAATTGGAAGATCCAGGAAAACATTTGCTTGCTAAGAATCACTTAGAAATCAAACATAATAAATCAAAGCAGTGCTCTACAAAGGCATCTTTTCTCCTTTTTTATTTTGAAAATATCAAACCTACAGAAAAGTTACAAGAATAGAAATGGACGCCCATATGCCCTTCATCTAAAAGTCATCTAAAGTTTTAATAACTTGACACATTTATTCTATTTCTCTCTACATTCACATTCTCAGACTCCCCAACCATATCAAAGACAGTGCAGGCATAATTATCTTTCATACTTGAGTACTTCTGAATGAATTTCCTAAGAATAAAAACATTCTGCTATAATTTTAATTTCATTGTTATAATAACATTATCTAATGTATAGCACATATTCAGTTTTCCCAATCGTTCCAAAAATGTCTTTAGCTTTTCAATCCAGGATATAATTAAGGACTATGCAGAGCATCTGATGGTCATATTTCTTCAATCTCCTTTAGTTAGAACAGTCCTCCCACTTGTTTTACAAAGTGGGAATTGTAACATTGACATTTACTTCATAGAGTTGTCGGGAAGATTAAATAAAAATAATACAAATAAGTGGCCAGCCCACCTGCATACACACTATCTGAAAATGCTCAACAAATACTAATTCCCTCCCATCTGCTGAAAGCACACACTGAAGCCAGTATCCTAGTTTTATGTGACAGCTCTACTTATTGCAATACATCTTTAAAGTGGCATCTAATTTTAATAATCATACTTAATATGTTCACACCTGAAAACTTGGGTCTTTTTCAATGCTTCTGAGATGGTCAGACTGAGAGCCACAGAGGGGTCATCTCCCAGCTTCAGGAGGCCACAGTGAGCCCCTGCCACTGAATATTCAGACTGAACTAGGAGTAACAAGGCACCATCCAGGGACCACACTCTCTATGGGTTCTTGTGTCCAACTTCTTCCCCTATAAAATTTGCCCATTAAGATTATCTGTTTACATAGCAAATTGTACTGCAAGCTACAACTGGCCAAAGCTTCTGCTAAACTCTAGTGATAAAGAGGGCATCCAATGACCATGTTCTGTTTCACGTGACTAACTGACCAGGAATTTGACCTGCCTTCCATCTCAAGCCATTTAATAACCATAATTCTGGTTCTGGTTTGGTTTTATCTTAAAATTTAGAAGAAGGCATTGCCTGACTACAAATCCTAAATTGCAACCTCACTCTCAACTTAGAAGAGCAGAGACTACTCTCTGCCAAAGGCAGAAAGAAGTACAGAAACATAATAAACAAGGCAGCACTGGGCATGTACATTCAAAAGGCCAACCCAACACAAACAGCTGAGGTCTCCACCTGAGGCCTTCTAGATCCTTCCTCAAGAATAACATGACGCAGGCAGCCTGGAGTGGAGGCCCGGTCCCCAGCCTCTGACTGCTCACATGCCAGAAGTCCCAGCCAGAACTCTACTTCCCAAGAGCACCGGGGATGATGCCCTAGCATCTGCAGGAGAGGTGTCTGGATAGGTTCCCAGGCCTGGACACCATCTATGCTGCCATACTCCCTTCTTGGGACAAAGAAGTCCGAACCCAGGCAACCCTCTGTCCACTGACAGAAGACTGCAGCTCAGTGGCAAAGGGCAGTTTACAAATGGGGGCTGAGGGCATCTGCTTCATCTGATATCTTTAAGTGCTGATATAATGTTCAATCCACATGAGTTTTTCAGTTTCTAACATGTTGCAACACTAAACTTTTTTCCTACCTTTACTATATTGTAAAATTAATATTTCATTAAGAACTAGCATTTTATGCAGATTGCACAATGGTTCTTAAACACTGCAGAGAATACAGAAGGTGACTTCTATGAGGGGTATATGGACTGGATTATGTAATGAAGTCCTGGCCCGCAGTGGGATGGCATCAGGAGGTGGGCAATCAGGAAGCAGGTAGGACAAAGTTTTGAGTACCACCTCCTGATGATAGCCTCCTCCTGTAAGAAGAGAGGGGGCAGCAGAGCTCCCACACTGCACTGCATGAGGTCACAGCAAGAAGATGGCCATCTGCAGACCAGGGGAGAGCCCCTGCCGTTAACCAGACCTGCCAGCACCCTGACCATGGACTTCCAAGCTTCCACACACATAAGACGTCAGCATGCCGCTCAGTCCAGTAGGCTGTGGTGTCTTGTTGCAGGAGCACAAGCTAAGACAGAGCAGCTTGCTGGATCTTGACATAGCCACACTATAGGGAACCAGCACAGGAGTTTACTGCCATATATCTGCACAGGAAGCCAAAACTTTCAATAACTCCCCGAAGAGATCTTTTGGGGGGAAATCCTCACCAGAACAAACAGGAATACAACGTGGAACCCCCCACTGAGGGGAGAAGAAGCAAAAGAAGCCTCACTTGTGACCTGCTCTGCAAATGCGGACACCCTTAGAACCTATCTAGGTGCGGTGACAGAGGACAGTCGGGATCCTTTTCCCTACTCTAAAGCAAGGAGACAGGTAGGAAAGAACCAATCACCGAGGCACTTCCAGGAAGAGCACTAGAAGTGGGCAGGTGAAGAACAGAGCAGCAGGGACGCAGCGGGACAGACTTCTGCCGCGAGTGGTCAAGGTGGCTTCACCCCAAGGGGAGGTTTAGACTAGGGGCTGCAGAATGAGGAGCAGGCCATGCAGGCTGTGCAGCAGGGCCATCAGGTGAGGAAAGGGCAAGTGTGAAGGCCCCAGCAGAAATGGCAGGGTGCACTTCTGCAACAAGGTCACCCCAAAGCCAGAGACTCCCAGAGGGAAAGAGTATGGAAGGGAATTTCCCGTCACATGAAAACAAAACCCACAGCTGGTCGTGCAGTGTCTTGCATTCACTGAACAGCACTGTTTCCCCACATGCAAGATGCTGGGACAGACTGGCTGGGAAAGAGAAGCCCAGGCCGCTGGATCTGCTGCCCCTAGGGCTGCGGAGCTAATTCTTTTCATGTCACCCAGGAAGCTTCCTGGCCCAGGCCCCAGACAAACATCATCAACCCACAGGGATCTTCAAGAAGAAGCACACTCGTGAGTCTAGGTGTTCCAAGGACTCGTTCACACAGCTAACACTTGCAAACTCACCGTGTTCCAGGTGGTGTGCAAGTCCACATGATCACCCAGAAATGGGGCTAACATCCTTTCTTAAATTGGAGATTAAGGTATAGAGAAGTTAAGCTACCCGAAGTCACATACCCAGTAAGTTCTAGAGACAGAATCCACTGGCTGTCTCCAAGAACAGCCACGTTACAGACTGAAAGTTTGCGTCTCCCTCCAAAACTCAAATGTTGAAGCCCCAGCTCTCAACCTAACTTTATCTTGTGACAGGGCCTGTGAGGTGACAGGAATGGGGCCCTAATGTAATAGGCTGGGGCCCTTTTAAGATGAGAAACGGGTACCAGAGAAATAATCTCCCTACCCTCCATGAGAGGTAACAACGAGAAGATAATACCTGCCATTCAGAAGGAAGACCCTCACCAGAAACCCACCATGCACCATGATCTCAGACCTTTGGCCCCAGACTGTAAGAAATAAACTTCTATTGTTTAAGCCATGCAGTCTGTGGCATATTCGTTAGAGCAGACTGGGCTGGCTAATATACCCACAAAGCTGTCAATGAACACAGGGACCCAGCTTCATCATTTGGCATAAGCGATCTGCAGAATCTTAGCCCTTGTCTGCCAGTCCTAACATCGCAACAAATACAAATGCCCATTTCCCCAGACTCCATCTCCTTGCAGAAATCAGCAGACCCAGAGGAAGCACTTGATCATCACCGTTAATTGGAAGTCTGCAAGATCACAGCAGTTAACTGGAAAAAATGCAGCAATTCCTACATTCCACTAATTTAGGCTGACCTCCTGGCAAATGAGCACAAAATGGTAAAGAGTGAGAATTAAGAAATCATTTAGCTCAAATGTACTTTTATTACTTTAGGCATATGCAGTAACTCACTCTGCTAACAAAGTGCCAGGAGAAGTCTCAGTCGCTGCAGCAAGCAACTGGCCAGCAAGTCACAAAACAGCACAGCGGGCCTCAAGCAGGGGATGGGGCACTGCACAGGAGCAGAATGTGCCAGCTAAACTTGGTGGGAAGCACTCACCATCGCTGAGGTCCTGGAGGAGATTCTCCTGGCAGGAAAAGTCCAGCTTCGCCTTGATGCTGATGGTGAAAGTAGCCACCTTCCCAGGCTGCAGCGGGAACTGGGCCAGGGTTTCTTCCAGCTTCCAGCTCAAGAAGTCACCGTATAGCTTTTCTAGGATAACAACAATGGTACAGATGAAGCACGGGAGGCAATGTACTTGCTGATCCCCCTAGAAAATGCTGACACATTCTTAAAAGTAATGAGAGATAAAAGCACTTAAGAGACAAGAGATCAAAGAAAACTCCAGAATCAAGAGATGCTGTGAGGCAGTCGCCCCTGTTTGTGGAAAGGACTGGTAGCAGAGAAAGAGGTGGTCCGCTCGGCTCTTCAGGCTGAGTCCTCCACTCCTGATGAGCAGCTCCTTCTCACCCATGAAGGAAACATCGTCTCTAATCCTATAAACTAGAGTTAAACTAAATTTCTACATGAGATTTTCTGTAACACATCGCTTTAAAGAGGAACAGACCTAAGTTTAGTGGAGGAGGCATCCTCAAGTGAGGAACTTCTGGAAAAAGAGAGGACACGGTTGCAGTGGGACCTGAAGGGGGCAGTCTCGGGGGCGTGTGGAGGAGAGTGCTTCCCTGGCTTCACTGCAAATCCGCCTGCCTTACAAGATCTCGGTACTACATGAACAGGCCTTGAAGTGGCCACCCTTGACAAGGTCTCTCCGTGTAGCCAGTAGGTTAACCACCCCTGGCCTGAGGTGCTACTTGCAGATTAGACACACCCTCTGCAGACCAAGGGAAGATGGAAGCACTAAAGCAAAACATCCTGAGAGAGAGAAGGAGAAGATGGGGCCACCTGTGCCCCTGGGAAAAGCGTATCACCTTTGGTCCCCCGGCTCCCCGCAGCCTCTCCTTCCCTAACCATTGAGGACATAAGACAAGACCAAAAATCAAGGCCTGGTCCACATGCTGCATCCCACCAAGCAGAACAGGAAGGGACCTGGGGGCCTTGAATGGCCTCCAACAGCCTCACACAAGTTTCCTACTGGCTCTTCCCATAGGTGAGGTCCCGGCCAAGTAGCCCTTCTGTTCAGAGATCTACACACAATCCTGCAGGTTCCTGAGAAGTAGGCTCCAGTTCCCTGCCAGTCTCAGAAATATCAAATGAGCCCATAGGGATGGGGCACCCCACCCACTTAACAAGGTCTGCTCCACTGCCCGAGTTGGCCGTTCACTCTTTCCTCAGTGTCAGCCCATGAGTACCTGTGATGATAGACTGCCATCAATCGCCTCTGCACCACGGTGCGTGTCTCTGTTGGGCCACCCCCACAGCCAGGGGCGAGAATCCATCCTCCCCAAGGCAGAACCAACAGCCAGCAGGCCCTGCCCATCTTATCTCTCTCTAGAGGGCCTGGTTTCCTGACCTGCTACTACCCTCTTCCCGTGGCCCCTCTAGTCATGGAGTGGGGGGCAGCTAGCTGCTATTCCTACCCACTCCTTTCTGTGAAAAAATTCTCTATGCTATTTCCTTTGTCTGAATAAGGAAATGGAGGCTGAGACTAAGGAACTTCACAAACTAGGGAAAATGATCCAAAGCCATTACATTCACTTCCTGCACAAAGGTACTTCATGGTAGAGTTCAAATAGAAAGTTCTGGTTTTAGCTGGGCACAGTGGTGCATGCCTGTAACCCCAGCAACTCAAAAGGCTAAGGCAGGGGGAAAGGGAGTTCAAGGCCAGTCTAGGAAATTTAGAGATCCTGTCTCAAATATACAATTTTTTAAAAAGAGCTAGGAATGAAGTTCAGCAATAGAGCACCTCTGAGTTTAATCCCCAATACCAAAAAAGAAAAAGAAGTCTTGGTCTTAGGGCCCTAAAGCTAATCCAGTAGAAGGAATTCAGGAGACGACAGAGCGCTCGGAGGTCCACATGAAGGAAGGATCAGTGAGGTCCACTGCTAACTGCAAGAACGCAAGGCCAAATGGTGCCACGATGTACAACCTGCTCATGTCTGCCAGGCAGGAGGGGACCTCCATCGTGACGTCCTCCAGAGCTGGCCACGCTGGGGTTCAGCTCAGCTAATAGCCATGGGCATTCTTCCTGGCCTCCTGGAAGAGAGGTGCTCGCCAATGGGAGCAGACCCAGGGACGGAGTCCCTGAAAGGTGCTTAGAAACCACACCACACTCTCTTGCTTACTTAGCCATTCGCTGGACACTTCGAACGCGCCAGACACTTTCCACATGTGCCATGCTTATTCACCCCATTAACCACTGAGATCACCACTATTGCCCTGCTGAAAGCCAGGTGGTGGACACACGTGACTCGGGTCACCTGCCAAGTAAGCAGAAGACCTGGCACCTGACAGGTGCTCAACGAACATTAGCAGCACCAACTCTGCCCCTTAACCAGGTCTCCAGGTGTTGTGCAAACTGGTGTCAGGACCCACTCAGCACCATCTGGGAGGGTGGACCCTGGGAGGAAAAGGCAGCACTGTTGAGAGGGCTGTTCCCAGGGAGCAAAACTGCAATGACAGCAATGGCTTGGTAGCCCTAGGTTGGGATGGTTTCCAGAGGCTGTGGGTGTCAAAGGAGATTCTCATGGAATCTAGGCACAGACGCAGAAATAGAGAATTAGAGGAAAGTAACCAAGTCTCAGTGAGGTGAGAGAGGAACGGTCCAACAAAAGGAACCTAAGAGAGAAGAAAGTGCGTCACATCAGAGATCAGCCACTGAAATTACAGGGTAAAAATTCAAATGCTCCAGCAAACTTTGGGGAGAAATGGCAGAGAATGGCCCCCCCACAGGAGAGAGGCAGGCACTTTTGATGGTGCCCTATATCAGGGCCAGGCAATAATGGGAGCTGACAACAAGGACGACAACCTACTGGGGCATGTGTGCACCATCTGAGTCTCCAGACTCAACCCTGCCAGCTTAGGAAACCTCTCGGAAGCCATGGATTCACTCCAGCAGCCATGCTACTGGCAGGTGGTTAAATGCCTAAAAGGAGTACGACCAGGTTAAGGAAAAGTGAGCCCCAACTCCCCAGGTCAGTTCTGCCTCCCTTTCCACCTCCTGCAAGGCCTTGGCCCCGCAGGGCCCTCCAAAGGAAGGTGGAGGGAGCACGTCCAGCGAACCAAGGCAAAAACTGAAACAGCACTGGTGAAGTGCCGTCTTCCAACACGCACGAGAGCGACATCATTCCCGAGTCAAGACAGAGACAACGGAAGATCAGAGTGCCAGCATTCACACCAGGCCATCAACCTGCAGGCATCAGAGCTGGGACTGGCCAAGACTGGGCTCTCTCCAGAATCCTGTCCACCTGTGTCCCCTCCTCTGCCAGAGACCATTACTCTGGCCAGCACTTCAACCAGAGGTTTCCAGGAAGACCTCGTGAAGGACATGTGACCAAGCGCCTTGAAAGGAGAAGGCAGGCAGGAACACACCAGGGGCCAGACCCTGCCCTAGGCATGTGTGCGACACGCAGCCACGCGTCCTCCCTCACCCCAGGTCCTCCCTCACCCCAGAGGCCTCAGTGGTAAATGGAGACAATAGCGGAGTCACTGTGAAGACAGACGAGGTGCCACACGGACTCAGCACAGCACGGGCACGTGGAAACTGTGGGGGAGGCACATGAACGTCTCTAGAAACCACGGAGCCCAAAAATATGTGCTTTTCCGGACCTCTGTCACCGTCCACTCACCCAGTGAATAGCCATCGCACCGCCACCCACATCCTCATGGCAGGCAGTATGCTGGCTTCTGGGGACAGAGGAACAATGCCAGAGTCTGAAGGAGATTTCTGATCGTAGAAAGACACAGGCATAGGAGAAGCCCCCCAGACTTAGACCAGATGGGAGATGAAGTCTTCCTCAATCTAGAAATTTCTCAGGAAGTTATACCTCCAATTACACTGAGAACAGTTCAATAATTGTTGAATTAATTGCCTAAACTAAAATAAGACTCGCTGTCCTTCCTGGAAGGGTCCCAGATCTGCAGCAAAAAAACAATTCAGCTATCAGTCTAGCCCACCATAAATTTACAGCTGGTTAGGGATACCAAATTCAAACACTCTAACCACAGCACCACTCTTGCCTCTTTGGATGGCTTTTTGTTTCATAAGAGTGTTTCAACTGAGAGTCTGACTCTGTAAAAATTAACTCTGGGAAGTCCCCCAGGTTTCCCCCCAGCCTTGACTGCAGGATGCCCAGGAACAAGGAGGTCAGGAGGTCAGGAGGTCAGGAGGTCATGGTCTGCCAGACAGGTGTGAACTTGGAGAAATGCCACCAACTGAGACTTCAGCTGGGCTGTGGGGGCACCTGTCAACTGCAGCCCAGAGGAAGAAAACGGGAGAAAGCAAGCACCCCAGGCCCACACGCTGCTCTGGTGGGCACGTCCACCAGCCGGCCATGCTGAGCTCTTCGCCTGCGCTGCCTCAGCGATTCACACGCCACTCTCTCAGAGGCCCCACCAGTGTACCCGCTTAAGGAGGCTGCTCAAGACCACCCAGAAGTGGGGATGGCCAGTGTTCAACCCTTCCCCAACAAACCCCTCCCTCATGTTCACTTGTTCCATCCTAAAAACAAACCCATGAAATGGTCCTGAATGTCAATTAGGAAGAGTACTTTTTTTTCTCATTCTACTCTTGTGTACCATGTGTTCTGACTTGGATCTGCAATGTCCCTCAGAAGTTCACACGTGGAAGGTCTGATCCCCAACGCAGCTAGGTTCAGAGGTGGGGCTCTGGGGAAGGGACTGGATCACGAGGCTCTAACCCCATCAGGGGACTTGTCCTTCTGATGGACTAATACTGTGAATGGTCCACTGGGAAGTGACAGGAAGTGTAGGCAGGTGGGGCATGACTGAGGAAGTGTGTCACTGAGGGTGGCCCTTGTACGCTGTATATTGTCCCTGGCCCCTGACCTCTCCCCCACTGTTTCTGGGCCACTGTGAGCAGAGCAGCTTTTCTCTGCCACACCCTACCCACATCTCCGCCTCAGCCAGCCAACCACGGACTGAAACAATGAGCTAAAATAAATCTTTCTTCCTCTAAGTTGTTCTTGTCAGGAATTTTGGTCACAGCAACAAAATGCTGGCTGACACAACATGATGCACCAGGAACCCAACAACTAGGAATTTAATATTCAGAACTCCCAACTTCTCCCATGCTC